TGAGTTACAGCTTCTCTATAATATAAACATCTTGTACGTGTCTGTGTCACACCCACTAATCTAGACTCTGATAATCCAGGATGAATAGGGCTGTATGCTGCTGTAGCTCAAGCATTACAACATCAATGTCAGCGTTTTCTATGTATCGATGAAAGTTTAGGGTTTTTTATAGTAAAATATATTCTTGTAAGGGGAGATGTGACAGCGTACAGCACCCAAATCTTCACTCCTACTTTTAACTCTTTCCTGTTGGATTTTTGCTTCTTTTATGTGACCTGTCCTCAGACTACAGATGTAAATTAGCAGTTTTGCTACCATCTGTCATGTTTACACTTCGTATGTTTGGTATATTAATGATCATTAACATGTGTTGTCCTTGTTGAAGGAAAGGAATAGATAGGAATGAAGATAAGAAAGGAAAAAGAAAAAAACACGAACATGAGCAGCGGTTCAGAATTTCCAGCAGCAGCTCGTTGAAAGCATCACCTCCATCCTCATACTCACAGACATTTCTGAGGTCATTTAACTGCAGCTTTAATGACTGAATATCATTTGGAAACTTGGTGCCATCAACAGATTACATCATGGTAGAAGTTCTTGACCAACCAATTAGGGCTGCCACGATTAGTCGACTAGTGAACATACTAACTAGCTGGCGCTCAATTAAGTGCTTATTTTTGGACCAGTAAGACGTCTTTTGTGGATGTTATCACAGCTGTGGTTTACACGCCACAAAGAAGTGTGATTATGACTGTGTGCTGGCATTCCTGTGTGTTTCTGTGGATGCACACAGTGATATTACCAGGATATTGGAGCTGTGTGTCCAGGCGGAAATGAACTCGCTGCAGGAAATCTTGGAGCAGAACTTGATGTTTGCAAGTGTCCATAAGGCAAAAACAGGCATCTACAAAGAGAAACCAAGTGGTGGGACACATCGAAGCCTTTCAGCCGAGGAAGGAGGAGATTGTTTCCTCCAGCCGTCACTTTTCTTTTATAACGAGACTGTGATTTAGGCGACGCTGATTTATCATTTTGTGGGAAGTTGTTTGTGCGTTAAAGATTTAAGATGGAGGTATTTCACCAGGGAGTCTGTTTAACACAAAGAAACGCAAACTAATTACCAAACTTTAAAAACTCTCAGCTAATAGTATACGTGGGTGTTTGTCTGCCAGAGAAACCCAATTACTGGACTCGAGAAAACTTTTAACCTTTGCCCAAATTGATGTGTAAAAACATGTTTTCTTTGTTCGTGTATCTGCAGCCCTCCTATGTGTAACTTTCTTTATTAAAAAAGACAAAAATAAGTCGCATATAGACAAGTTTGTTT